AAAAATAAAAAAATGAAGCAACAATCATATACAAATCCAAATCAAAGACAGCAGTACTTTACAGAAAAGTCTAGACCAAGCACTATATACCAAACGGCTATGATGGAAGTGATCTTGAAGAAAGCTGACGGATCATGGGCAGTGGGTAACTTTCAGTTTCAGGATCACTGCTTTTGTCTTTCATCAATTTTTACCCTTTATTTTAAAACATAGAAAATGTGGTTGATTGTCATGAACCAAGAACAAAACTTTTCACAATAACCATGAAAGGAAATTCCAAGAGCATTGATATGTAGATTAAATTCAAATAATCACTTAGGAATTTGAGCATCTACCTTCTATTCATCAACTTGAGAAAAATGGGCAACCACGATTCAAACTCAAGAAAAGAAAGGAGCAATATACCTCGGTTTTTTTTATATAAAAAAATAGTACAGCTGCGCGGCTATACCCGGTTGTTTCTAATTTTTTAAAACAAATAGTATAGCCGCGGCTATACTTGGTTTTTCCCTAATTTTTTTAAAAATTGTATCGCCGCACGGCTATACCCATTCTTCCCTAATTTTTTTAAAAAATAGTATAGCCGTTCGGGTTTATTGTTTTGACACATGACGCCTAGCGCTAAGAGGGTCCTTTTTTTTTTTGGTGAAATAAGGGAAACCCCCAGAAAACAACTAAGCCCCGCACATGAGTCGAGGCCTAGCAAGACCAAGTAAGTCATCCATCAACAGATAGCTAACCTAAGAGGGTCCTTTTTATAATATATATATATATATATATATATATATAGCCTGGCTATACCTAGTTTTTTTTTTAAATTCAAAAATAGTACAGCGGGGCGGCGATACTCGATTCAATTAATGTTTCTTTAAAAATGGTATAGCCGAGCTGCTATACTTATTTCACACGTGGGCGCCTATTCGCTGGGCGTGTCCTCTTTTGTTTTTTATAAATAGTATAGCCGCCGGGCTGTACTCGATTTTACTATTTTTTAAAAAATAGTATCGCCGAGCGGCTTTACTGGATTTTTCTTTTTCTAATTATTTTTAAAAAATAGTATAGCCGCCTGGCTATACGTGGTTTTTTCCTAGTATAGCCGAGCGGCTTTACTGTTTTGACAAGTCACGCCTAGCGTTATAACAGTGGCGGTTTCAGCCTGTGGCAGGCTAGGCTCATGCCCGGCCCAAATTTATGTTAAATAAATAGAGTGCTGCTAAACGAACCCTAAAATTAACTGAGTACACCATACTATCAAACTATTTATTGAATTACTAATTTACACTAATATAAAATGACCAAAAAGGATATATTGAATTGTGTACCCCAATATATACACCATCCTTAAGACTTGACGCATGTCCATTGTTATAACTATGGTCAACTCTTTAATTTTAATTTTTTTTAAGTATTTAAAACCATAAAATAAAATAAAAGATAAAAAAAGAGAAAAAAAGCTCTCTCTCCTTCCCGACCCACCCCACTCTGAGATGAGTTGAGATATGCTGTCCCCAAATTCCCAAACTACCAAATCTCCCTAAATTATATTGAAAACAATAAATATTACCCACACTTTTCTCTCTCCTCTCTTCTCTTTTGCCCAGCCCAAAATTTTGTTTAAAAAAATATTACTTACACTCTAATCTCTCCTTTTTTTTATTCTTTTCCTTACACTCTCCTCTCTCCTCTCTCTCCATTTTTTATTCTTTTCCTTACACTCTCCACTCTCCTCTCTCCTCTCTCCTCTCTCTCTCTCTCTCTTTTCTGTTGTTTTCCTTCTCTCTTCTCTCCCTTTTTTTTTTCTCTTTCTTGTCCTTCTCTCATCCCTCCTCTCTTTTTTTATCCGTTCTTTTTCTTCCATCTTCTCTCCTTTCTCCTCTCTCTCTTCTCTCTCTCTTCTTCTCTCCCTTTCTTATTTCTTCCTTTTCCTTCTCTCTTTTTGTTAGAAAAATATTACCTACATTACTTATGATTATTAAAAAATATTTGTCTTGCACAAAGATAACTATTTCAGAAATTTCGAAACATGATTGATAGGGCTATAGAGCTCGAGGTGGAAAGCTAAAAACGGATGTCATAATAAACGTTTATAAAAGGAAATAAGGGGAGAAATGAGGTCACAACTGGTTATAAAAAAATAAAAAATAAACCTAGCTCCATTAAAAAATATTTGTCTTGCACAAAGATAACTATTTCAGAAATTTCGAAACATGATTGATAGGGCTATAGAGCTCGAGGTGGAAAGCTAAAAACGGATGTCATAATAAACGTTTATAAAAGGAAATAAGGGGAGAAATGAGGTCACAACTGGTTAAAAAAAAAAAAACCTACCTCCGCCAATTTTCTTCCTTCCCATTTCTCTCGAAATAAATCTAGTTTTTTTAAAATTAATGTAGTCCCCTATTTTATCTTTCTTTTTAATGTAAAATATTTTTTTTCTTTTTTTTTAAAAAAATTTTTCTTTTGGTTTTTATTTTAGTTTTTGTATTTGTAGATATAAATGCATTTGAGGGTAAGGCTTATCACGTCTCCTCTCACTATGTAATTTTTTTTTTATGTTTATTAATGAAATTCACTCGTTCCATCAAGTTTGTTATATAAGTTTTGCCTGGTCGGCTTTCGAATCCTGGAACCACCATTGAGCGCTAAGGTCCTTTTTTTAATATATATATATATATATATATATATATATATATAAATAATATGCCGGTCGGCTATACCCGATTTTTTAATTTTGTTTAAAAAATAATGGGTATACTCGATTTTATTAATGTTTGTTAAAAAATATTTTTTTTTAAAATAGTATAGCTCACGACTTTACTGAGTTTTCCATATATATATATTGCGGCTATACTTGTTAGATTTGAGGCAATTTCATCCAAACTGTCATAAACCAAGAACAAAACTTTTCACAATTAGCATCGAACTAATTTATATCGGCAATTTGGTCCCTTCTAACCCCTTTCTCTCCCAATCCCCATCTTCCTTTCCCTCTTAACCCATTTATTACAGTAGAGAAAGAAGAAGAAAATATGAATCTGCAAGTGCCGAATTGAGGCTGAACCGCTCAAATTGCAAGACAGAGGGAGGAAATTCAACCCATTTTCCAAACAAAAAGAAAATTTAACTTACATATCCAAAATAAAGTTAAGGATCTATTTGGCTGCCAAGAAAGTTGTAGTTCCGAACATTATTAGAATTTGTTTTGTTTTGTTTAATTGGGGATTAGTTTTCTTCCATTTTCACATCAACCAAGCATAGCTGGTTTTGATAAACAAAATAATCACAAATCACAAATAGTTGGAGTATTTTGGTAAAGATAGAGTTACCAAATGGAGAACTTGATTTCTCTGCATGGGCTGCAGACTTCATTTTCTTTTTCTAGTTTGCTTTTCAAGTTTTCAGGGAAAGTGGGACGATGAGTTTTGAGAGGGAAAAGGTTAGAAGGACCAAATTGCCCTCAAATTAGGTTACACGTGCTCCTCATGTGTCATTTTTAAGTGAAATTTAGATTAAATTGACTTAAATCTAAGGGTATGTTTCAGTGGCGGATGCAGGAATGACCACTCATGGGGTCATAGTGTAAACTACCAAATAATTTTTTAAGATGAAAAAATATTGAAAATGAAACGATAGTACTTTCACTCATAATTAATGTCAAAAATAATATTACAAGTTACAATTGTCCACGACGAGGTTTCATTTATTTGAATTGAGGCTTAGGGTTTAGAAATTAAAACTTACTTGAATTGAATTGTAAACTTTCACAAAAATAGTGGCGGCAACGGGAATGGTTGGTGGTGAACGGCAGCTAGCACCCTTGGTGGCGGTGGCAAGGGAGGAGATGGTGGTAGAGGTCTTGGGGAGATTGGGGTTAGGGAGGAGAAATATGAAAATTTGAAGTTTGGAGGGTCTGTTTTCGGGTCTGTTTGCTGTTAATTAAGAAGTTGCAGCCCGTTTTTTATTTTTTTTATATAAAAGTCCTAGACCAAAACGACGTCGTTTTGGCTAGGTCTTTTTAAAAAAATTGCATTGCCCAAAACGACGTCCTTTTGCAAGGCAGTTTTTAAAAATAAAAAAACTGAAAAGAACCCCAGCCACCGAAGCTTCTTCTTCTCCATGGGGTTATTTCCATGGCTTCCAAGGGCAAAAACCAGTCCCTAACACTAAACTCCAGATCTGCCATGGGGTCGTCTGACCCCATTGACCCCATGGTGGATCCGCCTCTGGTATGTTTGAAATTGGCAATATAAATTAGTTCCAGTGACAAGAGCATTTTCACTCATTTGCCATGGCAAAAGGTAAGGAGAGGTAAGGATTGGTACTATTCACGTGAAAACTATCATCTTATATTCAACCTACACAACAACAAATAAAATAATAGAAACAACAAATCAGACCTACGCAATTGTAATTGTAGGATAACAATAAGGTAATAATGTGTCATCATATGATTGGCTCCTCATGCTTGATTGACTGTAATCAAAACTTTGATGGCCAAAGGAAGACGACTTGTCCTTTGGACTACCTTTGCTTTAATAATTTCGTTAATTCTTTATCTTATACATAATGTGTTATAATAATTAACTAATTCTATTACTTTATTAATACACTAAATGCTGATAAAAATCAAAAGAACGTTTCTCTTCCCCTTTATATACTTTTATTGCATGCGGTCCAATCATTAATATAAAGTCTTCGAGAACATGCATGCACGACAGCTTTGCTAACAATGACATTTTGTTTTATAATATTTTCATCGATCATAGTTAAAACCCGACGTGTAAAACAGAAGTGAGTTAGGTTGGACAGGATAGTGAGCTCTCGTTTCTTTGTATCTAAATTCGAATTCCTTTCTTTGTCTAAATTTTAGACTCTCCTGGCTATAAAAACAAGAAGAAGAAGAAGAAAAAACTCATAAACAATAACACATCTCTGATACCCATAAAATAAACCATTCAACAACAAAAAAACCCATAAAATAAAATAAAAAATTGCAAAAACCATCTGTGTGTTTGACCTCATTATTTAATTAACTTAGATTCACCCTAAAATATGTAGGGAAAAATCCCATTTAATTCTGAATAACAGAAAGCGCCTTCTCGAAATGCTTGCCCTTGATTCCAACAAACTCCTTCACTGACAGAGTTTGATACCTAGGCACTTCCCCAAAATCCTTGGACAAAACTGGGGAGACTATAAAATCACCTGGAGGAGCATAGAAATAGGCAAAGGAGAGACGTCGGACCTGGGTGGCCACCACACGATGACGGACAGTTGTAAACACCCCGTTGGAGAGGATGTGGAAAAAGTCACCAAGGTTAACTGTGATGGCACCGAGTACGGGTTGCACCAGGACCCACCCGGCTCCATCTTTGAAGACTTGGAGGCCGCTGACTTTGGATTGCTGGAGAATGGTTATTAGGGATGTGTCTGTGTGGGGTGCTATGCCCATGGCTCGGGTTGGGTCAGGACAGGCCGGGTAACAGTTTAACTGCAGACCAATACTTAATCCTTGAGATTCCTTAAGCCAAGCCACTTCTTCAGGATTAATGTTCAAGGATTTGAGGATAATGCAGATTAGCTGCTCGGTTAATGCCTTCAATTGGCTCCGATAATGAACCATTGTGTCACTGCAAATAAAAATAAATAAAAAAAACATAAAAGTTCATTTAAGTCATAATTTAATTCAGTGTAATAATCACATTGTTGAACTAAAATATAGATAGGCAATCATTTCTATACAAACACATATACATAACCGTGAAGATTTTATTTGGTGGCTCGATTTGAACTACATTGGAATTATAAATTCAAGCCAGTTCTTATAAGTCTCACCCCCTTCTAGATAAGACTTCTAAGACACTATATTGAACTGTTGTGCAATTTAATAAGTTCACTAAACAGTGGTCAAGGCATTAGTACAAATTCCAGAGGGCGAAAAGTAAACTATTACCCTCGCAAATCCGAAACGAAATATACATATATGGAAGAAACTATAATTGGAATAATTTTGATTTTGTCTACGTGCATGGAAATGCATGGAGGACTTACCAAAACCCTTGATAGTCATTGGGCCAAAGTAGCTTAGCATGATCGATCGGAGACCCCATGATATGATACCCTTCGTGCCACATAAGCTTTTCAAAAAATGGTGATATAGGAGGGAGACCATATCCTGATTGGCTACCCCCTGGAGATCTTAAGGCCTTCATCTTTTGGTCAACTGGTAGATCAAACAATTTTTCAGCCTCAGACTGCACAGCCTCCATAAGCTTGGTGGGAATGCCATGGCCTATCAGTTGAAACACACCCCATGTCTCACATGCCTGGATTATGAGCCTCTCAGCATCTGGATCCGCGAGGTCGATAAGGGGCGGGCCAGTGGAGTGGACCCCAGATGGAGACTCGTTGGACTCATCAAGCCATACATGGGAGTCGGGTAATGTATGGACAGAACCATAGTCAAGGGGGATGTGTTGGGGTTCGAGAAGGGTGTCTTTATAGGATTCTGCGAGAGCACCCATTAGCAATTGTCTTAGGAGAAAGAAACAACAGCAACGTAAGACTGAGAAAAGATCAAGACTCAAAGAGACTGGTTGTTTTGCCTGTGTTGACTGGAATGTATATATATATAAAGTTATATACATGGAGATCAGAGAGAAAGATTGTATTGGGTTTTGACCCTATATATAGAATATATTCTTATATGGATATGCATATGTATAGTATGGAAAGGTACGACCCCATATATAGAATCCAATCTCATATAGAAATACATATATCTATATATATCTTTTTTCTATTCTTTGCCAAAACGTATATGTATATATAGAATGTCGTTTCATATGAATGTTATGCATGAATCACATGAAATGTATGTGTGTATGCACATATGAGAGTTCATGCATATACGTCGCTTTCTTAGTTGTCAAGATGAATCAAAAGATATATCTTTATCTCTATTCTATGTTTTTGGTGTATTAACGGTTTTAAATGTCTTATTAAAATGCTAATAATTAATAATGTATATCTTAAGTAGATTTTCGGTGTTTTTATGGTTTCATACGAATGTTATTACATTCGATGTATGTGTGTATCCTTAAGTGTGAATTTGGATATATTTATAGGATAATATATAGTTGAATGGGACAAAATAAGGAACGAACAATCGCATCTTCATAAACTTGGAAAAACAGTCTCATTGTCCCATGATGAGGATTCGGGAAGGCAGACATCCTTTCGCTTTTACTTTTGTGGACAAAATGAGCCTGCCTTGTCCACAACTAGGAAATCTAAAATAATGAGATTAACTTGAAGAATATACAGTCTACATGATTTTCATGTTGAAAAGCCAAAACGCGTGCGTTTCATTAGGTAGTAGTGATCATAGCCAAAACGCGTGCGTTTCATTTTTATTTGTGCTCTTAACTTCAAAAGAAACAAATAAAATTGTACTTTATAACAAAAGACCAAGATGCAGCCACTTTTAAGTTGACAGTTTTTAATATACGAGTTTCTAAATACAACAACAAACACTATTGTTCATCGCTTTCATGTTGGGTTTCGGATGGTTTCACTCCATCCTTTGTGTACTCTTATGGTGCTTCTTTTTTAATAAACATCTTTACCAACAAACAAAAAACTTAAAATAAGGGGGTGTTTTTGAGTTTTTCTTGGGTTTGAATTTTTAAAAATGGGTCTACCACACGGGTTTTTGTGGCTTTGAACTTAAAATTTGTTTTTGAGTTTATAAAATTGGATCTAAGTAGGATACCAAACAAACCCTTAGTTTATTTCTCATTTTCGTTTCACAATATCTAGAATAAGTTAAAACTGTGGCTTTGATATATGCATGTTTTATATCAATATAGTAGAATTATAACTAATTAGCCTCTTGGCACACGTGTGTTACTAGCCCTCTTTGTTTTTCTTATTTTTTTAATTAGTTAAATATAGGGATATATAAAATGATAAAAAGAAACTAAAAAATTAAAAGATAAACAAAAAAAAAAGAGGAATGTGGTATAGTGGAGAGAGAGAGGGAGAGAGAATTTAGCAAATTAGTTTTTTATTATTATACTCTCATTATATTAGATTGTGGTTTTCTAACATTTCAGGGTTTTTGGATGTTTCAGTATTTGAGGCTTCTGTCTTTATATATAGATGGATAATATATGTCATACTAAGAACTAACACGTTGTGCTTAATTAGGTGAGGACTTGTGCCCATATCCGGCTAAATTTTTTTTTAAATGAAGATTTAATATTTAATATTTAGTTTCAGTTAATATCAACAGAAAAATATGAATAGAAAATTCAAACTCAAGAAACGACATGCATGGGCTTCAAATAAATCGTAACATTTTTAAATAGTTTTGTACCCTATTCTGATCTGCAACAAAAATCCAAGCGGAGAATATTGATTGGAATTAGGTTTTTGTTTTTCTTGGAATAGATGCTTTATTAAAAAAATAAGTACCATAAGAGTATAAAAAATAGCACTGAAAATATCCAATACTATCTAAAACCCTAACATAAGAAACAGGAACAAATGTGTAATTTTTTTAAAAATGACTCGCGATTACTTGGAAAAAAAAGGTAAGTCTCGTCTAGTTTCTATGTAGTTCTCTTTTTCTGGGCTTTTCCCTTTCTGTACCAAAAACAGAGGTCAAGTCTGGATTCAAATGCAGAAGGTTGCTGTCGGTAGAGAAAAAGGGTTGGAAATGATGCAACTCTTTGCTTAGAACGTGGTGTCTGAACTTCGTCCAAAAAAAAAAAACGTGGTGTCTGTACAAATTACGAACCATTGCAGCTTTTGAAATTGAACCACCTATCTTAATTGGCTGTTCGGAAATAAGGATATTTGGCTCTTCCTCAATTGCTTTTCCACCTGCAGAGTATCTTCCATGCGTTCTATTAGGATTATTGTATTTTGAAAGAACAACATTTAACAAGCACGCACGAATAGGTGGTTTGGGTACTAAGGGTTTAGTTGGTATGGCGTTATAAGTCTCTTAGATTGACGGAGATGATGTGGAACGGTGATCATGTTTCTTTGTTTGTTTTAGTCAAATAATTCTCATGAACTCTTTAGAAGTTTGCTGTGTTTTGTATTTTAGTTGTCGACTTTCTATACTGATTTACTGTTTCTGTCGTTGAGCGGTAGATCTGTATTGTAAGTCTAAGTACATGTGCTTTTTGAGCAAGTTGAGATTCCACCCCAAAATCAGTTGAGGCTTGAAGTTAGGTTTCTCAACTTTTCAATGTGGGACTTTTTACCTTCACATTCTCACATGCTTCCGCATGTGTAACGAATTTTCAAACCTAACACATGGACAACACATATTGGGTAACGTGGAGCACATGTGGCCATTGGGCTTTCACACGTGGGCTAACCTACTCTAATACCATGAATGAAGTTGACCTTCCACCCTAAAACCAATTGGCAATGGAGGGAGTAGCCCAAAATAAGCCCTTGTTGGATTTCTCAACTTTCCAATGTGAGACTTTTTACCTTCATAGTTTTGGCCGCTAAATAGGGGATTTAAGTGTTTTTTGGTTTAGGTATAGTTCTCTCGAGATCAAGTCAACATACTGTTGTGTTTGGTTACTCAAAATATTGTATTCATATTCGGCACTACGGCTTCTTTGTACTTTATTTTGTTTCATCAATAATTACTATCTCTTTTTCTCAAATAAAAAAAATTACCAACTAGAAATTTGTCTGCCCGCCTGCCTCTTGTCCCTTGAGGAGGACGATGATTGACATTTACGTTAATTCTTAAATTCCATGAAACAAACAGTCATGAAGTGTAGTGGTGGGTGGCCCATTGATGTGTTGATGAAGGTAGAGGAGGTCGTGTCCGCTGCCCATCCATTGGAGCTTTGCAAATGGCCAAATCGGTCCAAATCCAAAATTTACAACAAAAAAAAAAATTATTCATACCAAATGTGAAGCTCAAGTCAAGAGGCAAATTATGAGTGGAGAGATAACTTTAATTAATATTTTTCGACACCGAAGTCCTCGGTTAAAACTTCCGTTCTGGTATTAATGATTAATTATTTAGGAAGTGCTGCTACTCTTTTTTGCCTTAAGAGAATGTCTAATGTTAGAAAACCATGATCAACTGTTTTTCCATCCCTTTCTGGGTGGTCCATTTCCTGCAGTACCTAGAAATTACTGAATTAGATGTTTAAATATGCAGGAGGGATGTACAAAGAATGAGGTGCTTTGAGGTCTGAGTTCTCCCTCCCCCAATATCGTTTGTATTAAAAAAAGAATGAGGTGCTCCAAAGAAGCAGCATGTGAAGTTTGAAAGAAGTTGAGGTTTCACCCCAAAATGAATTGGCAATAAGGGATGTAGCCCAACTCATTATAAATCAAAGCTAGGTCCCTTAACTTTTCAATGTGTGACAAATACTCTTAACACGACGCCGCAAGTGTGTTGAACTTTCAAACCTAACGCGTGGACAACACATATTGTGTGATGTGAGAGCATGTGTGGTCATTGTACCCAACACGTGAAGCCTTGCTCTGATACTATGAAAGAATTTGAGGTTCCACCTCAAAACCAATTGATAATCAAAGAATATAGCCCAACTCCTTATAAACCCAAACTAAGTTAAGTTGTTCAGCCAACTTCATGTCATCACTCATCAGTCGATTGCTTACTCATTCAATTGAAATGAAGGCATGGTATGTGAATAGAAAGATCAGCTTAATCAGCTTGATTGAGAACTTTAACTCATGATGTGAGCGATGTCTTAATTCTCCGGAAGATCTTGTTCCTTCAAGGCAGGCTTGGATGCAACATAAAGTTGTTCCCATCTCTTTTTCACATAAGGACAATGAAGCAAACTTTTGACCCCAAAAAATAAAATAAAAAAAGACAATAAAGCAAACAATGACATTTTTGTTTCTATCGATCTACTCTTGGCCGCTGCCAACTCCTCTCTGATTAGAACACAGTCAGCAATGTAATTGTAATTAATTATTTGTGTCGTGCCTTAATTGTGCCTTTGATTCATTAAAACGTTCGTCACAGTCACAGAAAATAAAAACATAAACCGTACAGTATCTAGCAGGTCGGTTTTGTTCTTGCTGTGGTCGTATATGTGGTGATACAGTCATAGCAGCCAAGTGGACAGTTGTTTTTTGGTCGAAGTCTAATCTCATTAAAGAAACCCAGAAAAAACATGATACAAACAGAGACAAGTGGACAGTTAATTTCTCAAGTCGTCTATCATTGTACCCTCCTTTGGATCCCATTGGTGGACGGCCGTGAACTTTTTGAAGAAGACAAATATAAGTGGACATTGGCAAATTGGATACTACCGACTACATTGCATGTTAAATACGTGTTTTTTTATTCAACTACCGGTCATACATGAAATTTGAACTCAAGACTTTTTAACCGAGTATCGGTAAACACGAGTATTAAGTATAGTAATTAAAATGAACTCAAGACTTTTTAACCGAGCATCGCTAGTCACGAGTATAAAGTATAGTAATCAAAACGAGATTCATTTCTGCTAATTCAATGAGGCCTTTCCTTGGACATATTATGCGGACAAGACTTGATGCGA